GGCAGCTGCCCTTCCCTGCGGGGGAGGTCCCGAAACCCCTCACCCGAGGCCTGCGGGGTTGGGCGGGCAGACGGGTCAGTCTGCGAAGCGAGGGAGGGCCGGGGCCGCCGGAGGCCATGGGTTCACCGGGAAACCTTGCCCGGTGGTTTTCCAGGAGTGCTCCTCCAGGCTGAGGGCAAGACCTCAGCTCGGTGACCGCCTGGGCAGTTGGTGTCTGAGGGGGCCCTGGCAATGGTCTGTGTCGGTTTCAGCACCTCGCTGAAGGCTTCTTCTGACCCAGTGATTTAACTTGGTTTAATAAAATTAAGGAGGAATTTTATGTCGTTTTGTTTGTGTAAGTCTGGGCAAGACAGCAAGTGGAGAGGTGAACTTTGTAACTTGTACAGTGAGAGCAATGTATTTGATTGCATCCCAGGACTTACGTTGGTTATATTGTGGAAATCAGTAATTTATGTGATTTGTGAATGGGCCAAATCCTCAGAAGACTTCTGTTCAAAAGTCACCATTAGCTGCTCAGATTTATAGTAATATTTCTGTAGAATCTCCTGTATTTTAATGTTTCAAAGCATAACTGTGGTCAGTCAAGTGTATTATTGTATTATTTATTTCAGGTATGTGGGCACATTCGATGACAGTTCAAGATTACCAGGATCTCATTGATAGAGGATGGCGAAGGTAAATTTGAAAAGGAAATATAAAGCCGTGTTGTCAGTTTAGATTCAATTTAGAATCCAGATTTATAATTTAGGTCTGTGAAGATAGTTAACTGGTTTCCATGTGTAATTGTAATAGAAATAGCTGTCTAATGCTCAGTGACTTCTTTTGTAACTTGACACTATTGACCAGGAAAATCACAGAATCACAGAACGTTAGGGATTGGAAGGGACCTCAAAAGCTCATCCAGTCCAATCCCCCTGCCGGAGCAGGAACACCCAGATGAGGTTACACAGGAAGGCGTCCAGGCGGGTTTTGAATGTCTCCAGAGAAGGAGACTCCACAACCTCTCTGGGCAGCCTGGTCCAGTGCTCTGTCACCCTCACTGAGAAGAAGTTTCTTCTCAAATTCCAGTGGAACCTCCTGTGTTCCAGTTTGTGTCCGTTACCCCTTGTCCTATCATTGTTTGTCACCGAGAAGAGCCTGGCTCCATCCTCGTGACACTCACCCTTTATCTCTTTATAAACATGAATGAGGTCTCCCCTCAGTCTCCTCTTCTGCAAACTAAAGAGACCCAGCTCCCTCAGCCGCTCCTCATAAGGGAGATGCTCCACTCCCTTGATCATCTTTGTAGCCCTACGCTGGACTCTCTCCAGCAGTTCCCTGTCCTTCTTGACCTGAGGGGCCCAGAACTGGACACAATATTCCAGATGTGGTCTCACCAGGGCAGAGTAGAGGAGGAGGAGAACCTCTCTCGACCTAATAATCAGTTGTTTTAAAAATACGGTATTTTAGTATAGCAGCAAAAAGCTGAAGAACTTGCTTCTTGACTTTTGTTATTCTTCATGTAGTATTTTGATAACATTATAACAAAAAGGGTTCATCTTCCATTTAGTTTGTAGTATAAGGAACCAAAAATCAATACATATTTATTCTTATTTTTAGAAGTGGAAAGTACGTCTACAAACCTATCATGAATCAAACGTGTTGTCCTCAATACACAATAAGGTAAGAAGCTCAAAATGTCCTGCTGTAAGTGGTTTGCTTCAGATAAGTTCAGCCATTTGTGTTAACTGCTTTAAATACACAATACTTGAAAAGTTTCCCTACTTTTAATGGTACTTTGAGTACTAAGTATGTGTTGCTTGGTTTGTGCACAGGCAAATCAGCAGCTCAGTGATGTTTTTCTGTAAGCAGTCTGCTAAGTGTCTGCCCTTGCCTTTTGCTTCTGGGTTGCGATCCAAAGCAAGAGTCCTGTGGTCGCTCTCTTGCTCGCTGGTTGCAGGTGACCCAATGTGTTTGCTGCCCACAAACACTGCTTTAGTAACCCAGATGCTGTCCATTGAATGGCTATGGATAATTGTAGATGTAGATGTGCTTTTCTGGCATTTTCCCAGCATTTAAGAGCTAAATAGAAAATATATATATATCAGTGTAACATTTTGAAGTGGTTCCTTAATACTTCTTTCTGAAATAATCTTTCACAAAAGAAACAGTCATGATTTTTTCCTCTTTAAGGTGCCAAGCTTTGCGTTTTCAGACCTCCAAATCTCACAAGAAAGTTCTGAAGAAAATGTTGAAATTTCTTTCCAAAGGAGACGTGTCGAAAGTAGTGAGTGAAGGTAAGAAATTGTGTGAAGGTGTGTGAAAACCAATACAAGTGGTGTCTGAAAGGAGAGTGAGATACCTGCTGGAGTGATTGAATGACTAACACACTTTGATTTTTGTATATAGACCCCTTTATAAAGAGCACTGTGTAGCCCAGAGACCAAATTGTGCCCCTGACTTGCTCTGTTGAAGAATATGTTTCTTTGCTTTTTGCATTATTTTCCTTTTCATCTCTGGGCAGATGTTTACTTTCTATCTTTGTCTACTTTCTGTCTATGCCATAGAGAATTAGACACTGTTTTTACCTCTGTCATAATCTGGGGAGGACTAAGCAGGACAGTGAGTGGCAGAGAAAAGGTAACACAAGCAGGGAGGTTTTTCTTCCAGGTGATTGCTGTTCACAGGTGCTGCACACCTCATTTATCTAACACCAAACCCAGCTTTTCAGTTGTGGTGGAACTTGTGTTGGTCCTGAATCATTATAATTTGTGTGTGTGTTTGAGTGGTGCTGGTTTTGTGTCTTTGGGTTGGTTTGTTTGAAGTTGTGGCTGCTGAAGACTGCCCCATTTTAGTGGAGAAAATAGAACTATTCCCATACGTGAGTTGGTGCTGGTAATTTAGAGTCTTAAAGGAAGCTTTCTGTTTTCAGAGTATTGCAAACAGTCACTTTATCTGTTGTAAAATTGGAAAGGAGTAAATCTAATACGAATGTTAATTGTGCAAATTGTGAGCTGCGGCTCTGCAGAGAGAAGCCAGCTCACACAGTTTTTATTTCACAGAAGAGCCGATGGATTCCCATATAGAAGATGTGGTCGCGTGTGATTTTGCCTACAGAGGTGAATCTCACGTCAGTCAGTCTGAACTGACTCCCTTGAGTGCGGATCCCACAGAGAGTGTGGAAAATGAAGATAAGGGCACAGGAGAAACAGAAGAAGAGGTGAATGAGCAGAAGGTGGAGTCGGGTTCTCTTCAGATATGTGCAGATAAAGACACGCCAGTCCCCGGAGGACCGTCACATTCGGCTAAAGTTGTTCACGCACCACCTAAGCCAGGTAGGCAAATTTCTGGTAGTATTATTCAATATATTCATCAATGACTTGGATGAGGGAATTGAGTGTACTATAAGCAGTTTTACTGATGACACCAAGCTGGGAGGAGTGGCTGACACGCCAGAGGGCTGTGCTGCCATCCAGCGAGATCTGGACAGGCTGGAGAGTTGGGCAGGGAAGAATTTAATGAAATATAACAGGGGAAAGTGCAGAGTCCTCCTATTAATGTTTATAAATATTTAAAGGGTGAGTGTCACGAGGATGGAGCCAGGCTCTTCTCGGTGACAAACAATGATAAGACAAGGGGTAACGGACACAAGCTGGAACACAGGAGGTTCCACTGAAATTGGAGAAGAAACTTCTTCTCAGTGAGGGTGACAGAGCACTGGCCCAGGCTGCCCAGAGAGGTTGTGGAGTCTCCTTCTCTGCAGACATTCAAAACCCGCCTGGACGCCTTCCTGTGTAACCTCATCTGGGTGTTCCTGCTCCGGCAGGGGGATTGGACTGGATGAGCTTTTGAGGTCCCTTCCAATCCCTAACGTTCTGTGATTCTGTGATTCTGTGATTGGAATGTACTGTCATGATTTTGCGTGCAAATGTTTTTATCTTGCCTAGTAATTCAAGAATTGTTTCTTTTTATTCCCTGTGTTCTTGCCAATGAAGAACTGGAATTACAAATTGAGGGGTGCTGTGTGTTACTTGTCTTCTTGGTTTTTCCTGAAAGTTGCATTGATTTTTCATTATGTTCATTTTTTTTAGTTTAGTTACTGAGACTACATATCCACAGCTGGTAGTTTTCTGTAAGCTATTTAGACTGTGGTCAGATAGGTCAAGGTGGTTGAATCTCATCAGATACTGGGACCAGTTTCCAGTTCAGGATACTTTTATGCACAGAACAAGATGTGCATCTGGTTTTCCCTTTCTTCTATAAGATGTGGTTACTTGGGCTTCGTGCACCCTGAGGTATGGTTGTGCAGGACAAATTCCTGGGCACGGCTTTGATGCTGCAGGAGGGCGAGTTACTGCGTTAGATTAAGACTTAACCTTGTCTCTTGTGCAGGAAACCAGGTTAAGGCCCAGCAAAGACGCCCTAGGCATTGTTTTTCGTGTTTATTCATTTCTGCAGGTCATCCATCCTGTTATACAAGTTGTTATCATCTACACCCTGTGAATACACCTCTGAGTAACTTATTTCAGGCTGTATTTCTTATGCTTTCTTAGACTATTTGCTACAGACTTGTCATTGGGAATACATTCAGTGTATTATTGTGTTTTTATTTCTTAGGCTTTAAAGAAATTGAACAGCTTTCTGCTGATTTGAAAAAAAATAAGGAAAAACAAACAAAAACCCAAACAAAAGAAAAATCCCAAACCCCAAAAACCCCACAGAACCAAACATTTTCTAGCTGAGCTTTTTAATCTCTTAGGGAGCTTGCCTTGTTTTAGGTTTTGGGTAACTTTAGAAAAGCAGTGTCAGAAGAGGATGGGAAATTATGAAAACCAGTGGTAATTTCTTGTTTTCTTGCTCTGAACTTACCATTACATTTCTTTAAGGAAGAACAATGAGTATGTGCAACCAATAAGGCAGTCACCCTCATTTTACTTTCTGGTGTATTTATATAGTGCTGCAGCTTTTGTGCCAAAAACTGAAGGCAAATGCTTATTAATTTTAGAGTTTTGTATGAAATTACATCAAATATTGGTGACGTTTTGATTATAATACTATTTTTAGTATTGGTCACTTTCAGTATGGACGTTACCACTCAGCCAACGTTTTCCATTGTAATTGTGAAATTTTCTGAAACCTCACAGACAGTTTGTCAGCTGGTGGGTGATCCTCTGTGTGGGGGAGATTGTGCTGAGGGGTCCTTCAGGGAAAAGAAATGCTGGAGACTACTGCTATAAGGATGTGCCCATAGAGTGCCATGGGTTTCCTGTCCTACGGCTTCTCTTGTGTCTTGGCTGTGTTCTTGTGGGACTTGGGTGATTTTTGGAAGAAAGATGGTGAGGGGTGGGTGGATTAATTGCATCAGTAGATGAGGAAATCTGGATTTCTAAAAGGCCTTTGACACGGTCCCCCACAACATCCTTCTCTCGAAGTGGGAGAGGTGTGGATTTGATGGGTGGACTGTTCAGTGAATAAGGAATTGGCTGGATGGTCACATCCAGAGAGTAGTGGTCAACTCCTCCGTGTCCAGATGGAAAAGGGTGACAAGTGGTGTCCCTCAAGGGTCTGTACTGGGACCAGTGCTGTTTGATATCTGCATTAATGATACTGACAGTGGGATTGAGTGCACCCTCAGCAAGTTTACTGATGACACCAAGCTGGGTGGTGAGGTCAATGTGCCAGAGGGAAGGGATCCATCCAGAGGGACCTGGACAGGCTGGAGAGGTGGGCCCAAGTGAATCTCCTGAGGTTCAACAAGGCCATGTGCAGGGTCCTGCATCTGGGTAGGGGCAATCCTCGTTACCAGTACAAGTTAGGAGATGATGTGCTGGAAAGCAGCCCTGAGGAAAAGGAATGAGTGCTGGTGGATGAGAAGCTGGATGTGAGCTACCAATGTGCATCTGCAGGTCAGAAACCAACCCCAACCTGGTCTGTATCACAAGAAGTGTGGGCAGCGGATGGAGGGAGGGGATTCTGCCTCTCTGCTCTGCTCTGGTCAGACCCCACCTGCAGTGCTGGGTCCAGCTTTGGAGTCCCCAGAACAAAAAGGACATTGAAGTGCTGGAGCAGGGCCAGAGAAGACCACAAAGAGGATTAGGAGACAGAGCAGCTCTGCTACAAAGACAGGCTGAGAGAGTTGGGGTTGTTCAGCCTGGAGAAGAGAAGGCTCCAGGGGGACCTTATAGTGACCTTCCAGGACCTGAAAGGTGCCTATAAGAAATCTGTGGAAGAGCTGTTCACCAGGGCATGGAGCAATAGGATGAGGGAGAATGGTTTTAAACAAGAAAAGGGCAGATTTAGGTTGGATATGAGGAAAAAGCTCTTCCCCATGAGGTGGTCGATCACTGGCACAGGTTGCCCAGAGGTGGTGCAGGCCCCATCCCTGGAGATATTCAAGGCCAGGCTTGATGGGGCTGTGAGCAACCTCATCTGGTACCAATGTCCCTGCTCACTGCAGGGTTGGACTGGAGGAGCTTTAAAGGTAGGTCCCTTCCAACCCAGTATGGTTGCTATGATTATTGCCAGGATAACTCATTTGGCCACCAGCCTACACTGGAGAAGAAGGCAGAGTTGCTGGCAGGCTTCTTGTGGCCCAGAGGTTGCAGATGTGGCAGCCTTGTTTTACAGAGCATGATTCCAGTTTTGCAGAGCCTCTACAATGGCCTTTTCAGAAAAATAAAGGCTGTTTTCTGAATTGCAGTTAGCCAGTGCATGGCAAATAATACTGGTTAAACCCGTGGTGAAAACTGGATGCTTTAGAGTTTCTACACTTGTTGGGATATCATAATAATTCCTAATTTCACTTACCTGTTACATGCTGTGCCGGTGTTTATGAGTACTTCAAAGTACTACTTCTTTCACAAAGATTTTTGTCTTCTCCTATAGGGTGGCTAATACCAAGTAAAATAGTGTTGCTTTTTTCTTAGTGATCACTCCTTGCAATGGGATCAGGTTTTGACCAGCTTAACAAGCAATTTTGCATCTAAACAAGAAGGAAAATTTTCAGAAATGCTTGGTCACAAGAGCAGCAGTGCTGCACAGAAGCAGTGCTGCTGCACATTCTGCAAAACTGTTCCAGAAATTTTAAGGCTGTGTTTTATATTTTGGTTTTATAAAATGCAGTCAGAACTGTTGTAGCCCTTATATACTTTACGTAACTTTTATTTCTTGTGCAAATTTTCAAAACCGTCTTGTTTTTAAAGTAATTGACAAACTTTGGGTTATGTGGACTTCGTTTTGGAAGCAAGTGAAGTGGATAGTGACTGCAGGTGGCAGTCTTGGGTAAATTATCGGCGTAAACCTGCTGTTGTTTCGCAAAAGGTGACGAATGGTCTTCAGTTGTGTTAAGAATAACTTGAAACACTGGAAATGCAGAATAAAACCAGAAGCGTTGTACTCTGGTTCAGAACATGGGGATTTACTTTAGTAGAGGAGAAATATGCATTACTGCTTCTTCCTGGAGGTTTTAGATGAAGTATAGAAGTGAACAGTAAGTGCATCAGTAACCCTACTGAATTTTTCCGTTTTTTATAAGAGTAGGTGGTGTCATGGGTCAAACTCAGTTTAAAATTTTCCAGATAGAAAGATGTTTAGTTTTCATCTTGGAAAATGTAGACTTATTCCATAATAAGATTGTTTAATTGCATTTTTATTCCTTTATAAACAAACCAGGTCATTGTCCTATAGGAATAATGGGCTGTTTCTGCACAGTTTCAGATAAAATAAGAAGGTTTGCTTATGTCTGTATTGCGCATTCATTGTTTTAAGTTTTTCTTGCTAGCCTGACAGCTTAGGGAAGATATGAGACGTGAAGCAGATCCTGATACGTTTGAAGGCTGAGTACATCTGTATCAGGAGTATTTTAAATAAACTCTTCCTCTTCCCACGGACAGGTCACATAGTACCTGTATTTTCCTCATAACATTTGTCCTTTTCTGGTGAATGATTTTAGCTGTATGGATGAAACAAATACCCCAAAACCTTAGGTGAGAGGTAAGAACACTCCATCATAACATCTGCTGGTGCAGTTTAGGATGTCTGGCAAATGCCAAAGCAGTATTAGCTCCTTTCCTAAATCCCTTAAATGCTCTCGACTTCTCATGGAGTGTGCGTGGAGAAACCAGAGGGGAACTTTTCAGTGTGAGCCACAGAGAGCTCGCTGCTAACGCGCCCCAGGGGTGCACTTACAACCTCTGGAAACTCTGCACGGGATGCCCATTAAAAAGAACGGTTCACAGCCTCACTGATCCTTAAACGTTTATCCCGCCATAAAGTATTTTGCCAATTTCTGCCATGTATCTCTTGGTAAAGAAAGATGCAGGCAGCAGCTGTGAGGGCTGCGATTCTTTGCAGGTGAAGTGACCCAAAACATGTCAGTGAGCTTCCAAAACACCAGTGCTCTCCCTGTTGCCAGTTTGCAGAAGGGTACCACTGTTCCCGTTATCCACAGGAAGGTTTGAAGCAGGTAGGGGACAAGAAAGGTGGCCGTTTTGGCTGGTAAGTTATTGGTCAGATGAAGGAGAAAGAAAGAAAGAATTAACTGTGCTTTCATGGGAGTTCTGGAAAAAACAATCTCCATGTAATTTCCTTCGAGAGAGTAAAGTGGGATAAGCTGTAGTTAAGTGGGTTTGGATACTGTATGACTTCTTATAAATATTAACGGTGCTGGAAATGTGTCTTCCTAACGTTTCAAATGAAAGCACCTCACCCTTCAGGGTACTTTCCCGTTTGCAAAGCTGAGTCTTGCAGAAGCTGCCAGTCTGTAGCAAATGCGTGGATTTCAGGAGAAAGCTGATGGCGTAATTCTTCAGCAGTTCATCATAATATTTGTTACAGTTTTGGTTCGGTGCAAGATATATGACTGTATTTCCCTATGTGGGAGTAGTTTATTCCACTCCTCCTCTCTTTCTGGAAGTTTTAATGTTATGGCTCTTTTTTGGCCTCCTGACTCATCTACTACTGCCCTAAAAAGTAATAAAAAATGCAGAATTAGAGTTGTTCTGTATTACATTAACTGGCTGCTGATGCAGTTTTCAGTGCAACTTTCCCTCTGTGGACCTTGCACCAGCAGCTGCTGAGCCCAGATGGGAATTCCTGGAAAACTGGGTCTCTCAGCACTGTGCAGCAGGTTCGTGCAGCCCTTCCACAGCTTCTGCAGCGAGGTGCGGCGTGCACGCACTTGTGTGCACCACGTGGAATCGCCAGCCGTGATGTGCACATTTTAGGCAGAACTGAGAGTGTTAGGAAAAAGTTTCTTGCTTTTTTTGTCACTTTTACAGATTTGAGTTTATGCATTGATTAAAATCGTACTGTCTAGGGAAACTGCTGCTTGTCAGTAGATCATTTGTTTGGTAGCCATCCTTTCAGTGCACTTAGTGGGTACCCTGGGTACCAGCTGTCTTTTTAGTGTTTTTTAATTGAAGAAAACTTTATATTAACTTTTTAGTACTGGCACTCTCATATCTTGACTTTTTATCTTAAATTAGCGTCCTTAATAGAAAAGTAATTTGTTGAGGCATTTGGACCACCTGAGGTTTTATTTGTGCTTCTCTTTGGGTTTGTGATGCTTTAAAACTGAGTTCTTGTGGTGCTACGTACCATTTTCCATGCTGATCCATTGCTTTTCTAGATTTGACTTCTCTTTGAAGTAAATAACATTTCACAAAGAGAACGTTATGAACAGTTAAAGGCAAATTACTAAAAGTGAATTGAGTAGTAAAAACACACGATCTGACTATAACTTTAAGCAAAGATGTAAGCTTCTGTGGCCTTTTCTTCTGCATGACATTAGTGGTGGTGGTGGTATTTCTGTACACTGCATATGGACTCCAGGTGACAAAAATAAAATCCTTTTTTTGGTGTATGTCTTCTGCAGGACCTGAGTTTCTAATGCAGTAGAGCAATTCTCTATGAATTTGGCTGTGAGGTTTTGTAGTTTTGGTGGTTTTTTCCCTTTCAGGATTTCAAGCTGATCCCGTCGCTGTCTGGACGTAGTACATCATTGTACCATGTATTAAACAGGAGCTTTTCTTTGTTTCTGAGAGAGATGTGGTGCAATGGTTTACAGACAGACTTTTCAGACTCTTTTACAGACAGGAAGTCTTTTCCTTTTAATTTTTAAGTATAACCTTGGCTCTGGGATGGAATCGCGGTCAAGTTGTTTCCATATTAAAGTGCTGCATTAAACAGCCTTAGAGGAAAAATCATTGCAACTTAGCTTGGCATCAGGTAGTGTTGGTAGTTGTAAACGTGAAAGACCACGTTACGTTCAGACCACAGCCTGCAATTAATGGTGATTTTAACCATTTGTTTCCAATAATGATATGAGAACTGCTTATCTGTTGCAAGATGTGCTGTTTAATTCTTTGCCTGTGCCCTTGCAGGGAAAGGGGCTGACCTGAGCAAGCCACCATGTCGAAAAGCAAAGGACATCCGGAAAGAGAGGAAACTGCAGAAGCTCCTTCAGAACCAGAAGTGCACGCTTGAAGGTGCTCAACTTCAAGCAGGAGATCAAGTTTTCCTCTTGCAAAACTCTAAACCTAAACCAAACCAACCTAAAACCATCGAAGACTTTGTTTTTGTCTCTTTACCCGCTGATGCACCACACAAATTAGAGGTAATGTCTCATTCGCTGTTTACCTCCAACAGGTAGAGTAAGGAGAAGTCTAGTTAAGGGGTTTTTGGGATGTGTAAGTGTTTAATATCTGTGACTTTATGGAGTGGTTAGTGTTTAAATCTTGGAATATATGTGATGCTGCATGATATATATACACACACATATATCCATATATACATACATATACATATACATATATACATACATATATATACATACACATATCTGTATCTCTGGTGCAGCTGAGCTGTGTGTAACCACAAGAGGGTACTCGTGCACTTGCAGTCAGTCACAGCAGAGAGCAGCAGAGTTACCAAAATACCTTGTAAATTGATTTCATACAGTGTGACTCGAAAACGAAAGACTTTGAATTAACTGAGTGGTGAATGATGAGCCAGATTCAATATTTAGTTCTGCAGTGTATAAATACTTAAACTAGCTATGCTAATGAATCTTGACAAGAAAGCAGTAACTGTTCGTGAAATGTAACAGATAAGAAGATAGCTGTTCTTTATAAATGCCGTTGATATGTGTTGATGTCTTTGGAAGCCATACAAGAGATAGTGGAAAATTTTGCTTAATATACTGGTTGCTATTAACTCCATTAGTAACATGGTGACAGTCATCTGGAAGACTTTTGGGCTTTCGAACCCATAAAACCATTTTTTATATATATTTTTTTAATGGAAGCTGAAAAACCATCTGAATACGAGTATTTTCTGGAGTTACTATTATCAATAATGGTATTGGAAGTGAAATGTTTCATATTCTTTTGGTAATTATGCAAAGAGGTAGTGATGATGACTTTAAAAGATTCACCCTGAATAACTGACAGAAACGATGTATCTCATTGGCTCCTCCAGAGTTTCTGATGAGCTGTTTAACAGAAATATGATGGCTTTGTCTGAACATCTTCATACTTATTTAAATTTTGTGTGTGTAGGGGTGACGGTGGGGAAGGCTCATAGCTTCCCGTTACAATTAACTTGTAATTAAATATGGAAACTTTGTTTTGTCTTCCTCTTTTAATTTGAAAAATATCAAGAAATCCCCTTGGGGATTATTGCAAAAAGCCAGGGTCTTTATCTAAAGAGCACAGACAGGAGTCTTCCAAGTGCATGGACTCTTTAAGTATTTTTGGATACAGTGTGAAAGTGTAAGAGAACATTTTAAAGTACAGAAAATCTCTTCAAAATGTCAATCTGTGTACCATTTGTTGGTATTATTTCTTGAAAACTGTTTGTGTAGCTCTTTTATAGACATTTAATTCATCTTAATTTGCAGTTTGAAAACCCTGTATGTTATTTAGTGTAAATATAAAAGCCTTCAGTAGCCTGAATTGAGCTGAAGAATTGGAAGGCAGTTGGCTGATATTAATTAAATTGATAGGACCCGTGTCCAGGAATTTAAAACTTCTCTCTGTTGTGATGTTTATATATGTATAAATATACAGTTATTGCATGATATTGGAATAATGAATGTGTTTGACTTCTTCTGAAGGTGAGGGTGGTGAGATCATCTCCACCAAGTTCCCAGTTCAAAGCCACATTTCAGGAGTCTTACCAGGTCTATAAGCGTTACCAGATGGTTGTTCACAAGGACCCACCTGATAAACCAACTATAAATCAGGTCAGGAGGCCAAATGAATTTTATGCAAAGCTCAGCTTCCCCTCCGTTTCGTGTCTCTTGTTTCTAGGAGAAACAAATGTGGATTTTATATCCATCGTATACTCAGGAGCGTGTAAAATTGTATATATAAAAAAAAATCAACGTCCTGAAAGTGCAAACCTTTTGGATAGATCTCTTTGAGTGCCACAAATATTTGATCTTAATTGCGGATAGGGAAGTTAAGGAAGTTTTGTGGGGAAGAGATGGAGAGGAGGAGGCTTTTGGAGATGGATACTGTGGGCCTTATAAATACAGATCTAAAACCAGCTGGACACTCCCCTGATAACTGATTTCATTGCCTTTGGTTTGAATGCTTCCATAAGGAGGAACGAGCGTGATCGGGGCCACATGCGAGTGTACAGTTTATCACACATTCAAATTGGTGGTTTGAAGTTGATGGAAGTTTTACAAACCTCTTCATTTTCCATTTAAGCCCTTCAAGAGGTAATGGGTGCACTCCATCCAAACTACACATCGTTAGTGCTTCTTGTAATGACCAGGTGGTGTGTAATAGTTACCTGTCAGGCATCTTGCATCTCCAGTACCATACAGAAAAAAATTCAGGAGTTTGGACAAGAAGTATATGTAGCAAGAATATTTATTTGCTAAACTGGGGCAATGAGTGATGTGCCATTAAAACCAACGCATTTTGAAGTCCTTGAGACCGTACGATGAAAATCAAATTTGTGGTTGCTTTGTTAGATAACTTGGTGAAAAAGCAGGTTGAATAAACTGATGCTTTGAAGCGATCCAGTGTTATACAATTTCTATTCTTTAAAGAAAGCGTCGAGATTCAGTTTTAGCTTAGTGTTAGTTCTCAGGCTTTCTCCCATAGGAGGATTTTCGTGTTACTGTGTTTGAAGCAGAAAACTGACTTCAGAGGCTTTGAAGTGGCTAGGAGGAGATCTTTCACTAGCCTTACCTTCAGAAGCACATTATCTGCCTATATGCACTCAAAATAGCATGCTTGTATTTTCCTTGCTCTGAAGGTGAGGTTAGTACCTGTCTCCTTTGAAGACCCCCAGTTCAAATCATCCTTCAACCAGTCAGCCACTTTATTTGCCAAGTATCAGATGGCCATACACAAGGATACACCTTCTGACTGTGGCGAAAATGAGGTACAGTTCACTGCATGCACCTTTCTGACAGCATCTTTTTTTAATGCACACTTAAATGATGGGAAATGGGGTCTCTTAGAGTGCTTCTCAATATTAAAATATTGAGCTTCCATTTCTGGGGGAAAGCATCGTGGGTTTTAGGAAGCTTTTGTTGCAGATTTCAGCCCAAGGGGGAACTGAGCTGAAGGGACAGGAATTATGCAGCATCATAACTGAAAAAAACTGATGTTAGTAAGGAATTAAGTAGAGCAACTGTTTGTATATGATTTGTAAAGAGGTCTGAGACTCAGATTTCCACTGGAAAATGGGATAATGGTATGGAAGTGCTTTTTTTGTTAGTAAAAGCATCTTCTGCCTTAAAGCTGTTTGGTACCTTTTCCACATTTCTCCTTGATTTTTTTGTTGTCTTGCTTAATTTAACAGATGAAGGTTTTGAAAACCTCAGTTTTAGTCATATTTCATTGCTAAGATACCTCTCAACTAGAACTCACCTTTGCAGTGGAGGTGGTGCAAAACTATTCCCAGCAGCTGATTGTCTGAGATTCAATGAGAGTGCATTGCATGTGAATAAAGCCTGCTTTTGAAATGGGGTTTACAGGATGCTAATCCTAATTAAAGAATAATAATAATGATAATGGTAATAATAATGATAATAATAATAAAGTACTGGTAGGGTTCTAAACAAGCAGCAGTTCTCCATTTCTCTGGCAGGTGGCACAACATTTTCATTAGCAGAATTAATTGAACTGCTACCTCAGATCTGTCATTTCTATCTGCTGCCAGTGTAAGACTTCAATATTGATTAACTATCTAGTCAAGCTTGCTCTTGAGAGCAGTGCTCGCAGCAGTGATACCTAGCAAGCTGTGGCTGCTTTCCAGGTGGAATCATAAAACCATGTAATCACTTCTGGCTGTAGTTCAAAAGAGCGTAAGGAGAGATCTCTGTAATGCTACCGTGGAAAGCCGTAAAATTTATTCCACTTTGGTTTGTAAAATCATAGGACTCATAACAAGAAGTAGTAGTTTCTGCCCTTTTTATAATTACTGGCAGAAACTGGGTTAATTATAATAAGGTAAAAATTGGAAACACCCCAAGAGTGACTGAGCTGTTTACTAAATGTGTACCAGGCATTACCTGGCCTTGATTTGTCTGCTGCAGGATTTAAGCCCTACTGCTTAAATATGGCATATATGCCACCATGCCTTTGCTCTAAATCTTATTGCTGCGGAGAGGGTGCTAAGAACTTTGTATACTTACTTATTCTGTGTTTAAAATGATGGATTTTTTCATACAGTCATTTTCGGGACATGTTTTAGTGGTGAACTTGGTAGTGTTGTGTTGATGGTTGGACCTGATGATCTTAGAGGTCTCTTCCAACCTCAGTGGTTCTGTGGTTGTACATCAGGAAGAATCCAGAGCAAAACCCTGATGGCTGCTTGCAGTTCAGTTGTGAGTAGCAGTTTGCTCTCAGTTCATCCAACCTCAGTTTGGGTCAGCACGCGTGGTTTGACGTAGACTTGGGTTTGGAGGCCTTCATCACCCCTGCAACTGTGGTTTTTAACTTGGGGAGCCTAGGGGAGGAATGATTTTAAAGAGACGTGAAGGACGGATCTGGTTTCCACCCAAGTTCACCCTCTCTTGGGTGGAAAACTGG